ATTTTTTTACATTAAACATTTACGAAGCACTAGTTTTCTATATAAGAAGGGCATGCCTATAGGCACGAGGGGCATGCTGCAACTCAGGGCATGCCCTCAAAGGCATGCCTGATTTTTTACCCGTGCCTCGAACCTTACCCAGATCGCTTGGATCCTTCGTTAGTAACAGAATGATTTGACATAGTGCCTTCACCTAGCCAACTCTTATTAAATTGTTTTGACTCTTCATTAGTGACAAACATAGTGTCTTCATCTAGTCAATCTTCACAACTGACTATATCACCTTTACCAATAACTATCTAACCTAATCATTCACATTATACTCTTACAAATTTTGACCAGTTAATATCAGAAAATAAAATGCTTAATAATGAAGTTGAATTACTAAAAATTCAGTTAATAGCCACCCAAGAAGAATTAGAAACCTACAAGTACCCTGAGACAAGTTCTTTGCATTCAGTTCTCAAGTATAGCTTTCCTCGAGCCCCACAGATTAAAACTTTAGATTCTTCTGAGTCTGGTCCCGTTCCTAAAAAAAGAAAGACACTTCTATTTGCACAACTTCTTACTAATAATGAAAGCTTGCAGAAGTTAAAAGAAGTAAATGAAGAAGTAGAAAAAAAGATCGAAAAAGCTAAATGAAAAAAAGAACTGGCAGCCCAGAGAAAAAAGTTGGCAGCCCAGAAAAAAGAGCTAGCGGCCCAAAAAAAAGCGATAGCAGCTCAAAAAAAAATTGAATGGCAGCGAGACTTGAAATAAAAGAAAGAAAAATGTGAGTGAAAAAAAAGACAAAAAAAAATCACAAGGCTAGAATGCAGTAGAGGTACTAAATTGTATACTTATAATGCTAGAATAGTAGAAATAATATAGGAATAATAAAGTTATATTCACAAACTTGAACAGTAGAAGTGACTAAAATTCAAATCTAAAAAAAAAAAAAAAAAAAAAAAGGTTTAAGGTTGTATATTAGCATAGTATAATACATATGTACCATATGTACAGACGTTAAACAATTGTTGTCCAAGTCTGGTAAGTTCCTTTTCTAAATAAATAAAAATTGTATAACGATAAGCCTAATGTGTTAATAAAGCGAAAAAAATTTTTTTATGCTTAAATTCCAATTTCGTTACAATACCCCCCCCACCTCTCCAAAATTCTATATTTTGGTTCCGTGTTCAAAATGATTATTATGTCTAAAACCGGTATATCACACAATAAGAATTTATGTAAAATCTAATCTAAATTGAGCTTTGGTTTAAATATATTTAAAAAAAATATAGATTTTATATGATAAGTACGAAGTTTTATATGTAATGATTTTAACCTCGTTACAATACCCCACTTTACCTTATATTTAGATTTGGTTAATTTGCAATCATTTGATGTCTAATTTAAACATAAATATTAACAAGTATTTGACTATCAAATTTTTGTTTAATTGTGTTGAGCACTAATTCTAATAGATTTTAGTATTAAAATAAAAAAGTATGAGGCATTTGGTTGTTATCGAAAGTCTCTAATAATAACTATTCAAAGATCAAAAACCAACTTGATAACTTTGATAAAATAAAGGTATTCAAATATTTTCAAAAACTAGCAAAAACAAGTTATATTGATACAATATACAAAAGTAGGTATTGCTATGAAAATAGAAATGGAATTAAAATAGATAAAGATAAGGTATTTATATATCATCAAAAGGTGGTAATTGTAAATAAAATAAAGAAAAATAGTTTAGATAATAGATCAATAATAATAGATTTGAATGTAATTAGTGTTGAAAAAAATTAGCATAGGTGGTTAACTATTATCAAAAACTTGCTAATGATAGGCAAGAAGCATTAAAGTAGGATTTAAAACATACTAAGAGTAGTAATTTGAAAGAACAATGTGATTTTAGATTGTTTTACCAAAATGATATAGGCGCTATTGGGAATTTACTGCTGCTGAAATTGGTAATAATGTGAATAAATGATATATTCTTCATTAAAATAATACAAAGTTGATGCATGTGGAAAGAAAAGCTTTAGAAGATAGAGCTAAAAATAACAAAGTTAATGAGTGCTATGATGAAGTTGTTGAAAATAAGATAATGACTAATTTAGATAAGAATTTAAGAAAAGGTATTAGTAATATTGAAAATATTAAAAAGACAAAGTTTGAGAATGCAAATAATAAAATAAAAATAAAAAAGAGAATAAATTATGGACTTTTGTTTAGGTACTATTGTGATATTAAACATGAATGAGATAGTAGCACAAAATCTAAAGCATAAAAGTTTTGTGATAGGAATCCTATAGTAATATTGAATATGTTAGATCAAATCAGAAAAAGAGGATTCTACAATTAGATATACTTAGATTATATGATTGGCTATGATAGACTAGAATATACCATATTTAAGAATCGAATCAATATGTAGATAATCAGATATATAGATTTGAAAAAGGCATGTGCAAAAGTAGTTTTACTGTAAAATGAAATTTTGTAGAGAATATTGAAATAGCTGATAAAAAAAAAAACAAAAAAAACAAATATATGTCTTTAAAATATAAAAGCTTGAAGAAAATATGCTAAGTACTCATAGTCTATATGTTGATTATATTAATTGATCCAGAAATTGTAAATAAGTAATCGAATTATAGAATAGTCAGTAATAAGAATACCAAAGTAAGGTATAATTATAGAATAGTTAGTAATTAAAATAC